TTTTGAGCTTTGCTGTCTAGCTGACTCGAAACTGTGATAATTAAACTTCATTATGGATTTTCTGTGTGCTGATATCATCAAGGATGATTTTTTTTTCATCACAGGGAGTCTAGAGTTAGTCAACATCCTTATGTTGAATAACTCTAGACTTCCCTCTCTAGAAATGCACCCCGTATATTTTTATTGCTATTCAGCCAACATTTAAAAGATTTATGACGCAAAAATCACATGTAACACAGTTGGCTGTAAAAGAAATGCAACTGATAAGAGCAACACAGCTGACGGCATGCATTAAGAGGAAAAGAGAAACCTGTATTCAGATAAAAGCATTGCTATTTTCTCTCTCTGTTTCTATAAATATTAAGTGATTCTCTCAAAATCAGCATGTGGTGCATTAATTAGACTAAGTCTAAATCATGATAGAATGTGTTATCAAGGAAAACAGGGTGATAGGTAACACAATTGACATTTCTTTAGTTTTAGGCCCTCGCTAACATGTCACCTCTAAATGCAGCCTAGTGTTACTTTGAATAGCAAAACTTGACATTTAGTTAAATGACCATGAAAAAATAAATGATGGAAACTGTTGCTTTTTAAAAAATTAATTAAAAACAACTATGATATTTATCATTGCTTGAAATGAATGTTTGGCTGATAAAGCTTGTTGACATGAAATTGACCCCTAACTGTAGAACGAACCAAAAATTGCTAAAATGCTAAACAGACAGTCTGAGATTGTGTCATTATTGTGTATCATCGGTTGCAAATGATTTTAACAAACATAATGCCATTTTGTGTTATAGACAACATTATTTTAAGTGAAAGAAAACATACTAAGACCCTTCCCATGTTTCACAGTCCTTACATGCTAATACAGGCATATTTACCATCTCTGTGTTCTTAGGTTAGAGTAATAGCAACATTTCCAAGACAAATAAATGATTACAGCTTATCATTTGCATAACCTATTAGCATTTTAAATCATGCATTGTAGGTATTTTTCTGATTGCTTGTGATTGCTTTTCTCCATGTCACCTTGTAGCTGCTGAAATGGGAAGAAGCAGCTTTAAAGATCAATATGTGTCTGTGACAGATGGCAGAGGCTCTCAAGTCTGTACTTGTTCAGGGTATCGATTATTAAAAGTCACCTATGAACAATATTGATGTTAGGATGCTGGAAACACTCTTTACCTATCACAGCATATTTACAGAGTTGTTACAGTATTTTTTTAGCGCTACAATATCCTTACCTTCAAAAACAGAGCCCGTGACATCCCCACCTACTCCAAGTCGGCCCTGGAACCGTTACCGGTAAAAGTCAGCACTTTTTTATTTTCACTTTAATGGATGTCGAAGGTGGATTGTCTGCTCAGTCTGCTTTGTGCCTGCTTCCTAGTTACATGTTGGAGTCTATCGTGGGGTGTTCGTCTCTCCTGCTTCTAGTGGGCTTGGCTGTATTGGCAAGAAAGATACTGCGCAGTAAGGCAACTTCATATTCCTTTGAATTTTAAATTGTTATTAAGTGTGTGTGTGTTTGTGTGTGCGTGCATCAGCCACAAATTCTATATATAAATAAAGATTTATACGATATAACAAAATGCATTAATTATATCTGACTACTAATTTGCATTTATATTTTGGGCATTCTTTCTAGAGAAGGCTTCTTCACGCTTTAAGGAGACGGAAGAGATTTTGTGAATTGTTAATTGTTACTCTTTGTAACTGAATGTAATTTTTCTATTAATTTGCCACACAGAACATATGGTCTTTGGTCCAGTATCTTTTTTTTTACCAAACCAAACCACGTCTGAACAAAGCTATATGTTCTGCTTCCTGCAATATAAATTTGGCACATTATAGACTTGGCTTATATAGACTCAGTATTTTAGACTCAATAAGATAAATCAAAATACACGTGTATAATTATATGTGACTTTTTATTTATGTACCAGACTCTATGTATTTTTGGAACCTGTGACCTTCTTTGCTCATTATAAGGGTCTTATGGCAAAGTAGCATTTGGGTGGAAATCTATGCGTAAAACTTTCCTTTTTAGTTACACTTCAATAGACCTAGAGTGTTTGGGGCTTCCCATGATGCACTGATGGCTTCTTCTTCACTAAACTTTTTTTCACTCTCTCTGCTTACGTGCCACTTTGCATTTAATCATCATTATTAATCTCTGGCCCTCCTTCACTGTGTATTTAATTTGTCCTGTCTTGCTCACCAAACCGGTCAGTGCAGATGTCTCCCCCTCCCCGAGCCTGATTCTGACAGAGGTTTCTACCTGTTAAAAGGAAAAGGGAGTTTTTCCTTCCCATTGTTGCAAAGTTCTTGTTCAGGGTTAGCTCATTGTAGTTATATATAACACCTCGAGGTGAGTGTTGTGATTTGGAGCTAGATAACTAAAATTAAATTGAATTGAATCTGCCAATCAAAGTTGCAGCTGAAGAGAAGGAATACTCACTTGGGGTTTAAGTGTTTGTGTTTCACAGATGGTGTATATGGACACTATAGTTTAAGTTGGGCTCTGCTTTAGTTTCTACTACTGCTGAGAGAAATGTCTACTGTTCTGATTTCATCTGTTTTGATTTTTGATTTTATATACTGTTTTGTTTGTTTGTTTGTTTGTTTGTTAGTTAGTTAGTTAGTTTGCTTGTTTTTATCAATTTTAAATCATGCTTTTTTATTTGTTTTTGTTTCTAATGTCTCTGTAAAGCACTTTGAATCACCTTGTTGTTGAATTTCGCTGTACAAATAAACTTGCCTTGCCTATTTTGCTTATTATTGCAACTGAGTAGGGGGTTTTGGTACTGTATTTGCTCAAAAGAGCCAAACGTGCAAAAATGATGTCAAGTACTGTCAAGAGCATGACAGAGCTACAGGTGGCGATATAATCTTGTCTGCATTAAAAGGCTGGCCAATCAGAAGCCTAGGAGGAACTATCACCAACACTGTGCACAATCTGACATTGAAGAAGGAAATAGAGACCCACACCTTTGATGTCTGGAAGCCGTTTTCCTTGTCCACATGTGAACACATAAAGTGACTTTCTAAAACCTTCACCCTGTAAGCAGTTTTCCAAAGTGCTGTTTTCAGTTATCTTAAAAGCTGTTTACATGTGGATGAAACACACAAAAAAGCTACATTTTCTCATGTAAGTGTAGACAGACCCACATAGAGCTCTCTTTAATTGTCTTTAATGCATCCACGAGTGCAGCAGTTCCAAGAGGAAGCAACTGTTACATGTCGATGAAACTACTACCAAATAAGAACAAAATTGACAAGTTCAACATTGTAAGACTTTCTTTTTGTTATCATAAGGCAACATAATTATTGCAGTCAATTAAAATAACATGTTAACACTGATAGTTCCCAAGAAATCATAAAGCCTGCATATATAATGTACATATGAAGCGGTAATTTTTTCAGCTCCAAACTGCTGCTTGTTGCTACAAAGACCAAACAGAAAGAATATCCAATGCAAACAGTAAATCTTGTCTGCCCAAAAAGCCCATGAGACCCAGAGGGGAAAAATGATTTCAGTTTTTGCTCCTATTAGTGGAAACAGACTGCACTGTTTGCTATGTAATATCGTCATAATGATATGGCTAATTAACACATTTAGACATGGATATAGTCTGACTGAAAATTTGTGGAGGAAAATGTACATGACGTTAGCGTAGTTGTGAAATGCACTTCAGAAAATAGGATTTCAGCGAATTAACTCTGAAAGGAACAGCTCTACATTTTATGCTTGAAGTGTCTGTTCTCATACTGAACCACAAACCGGGCTTTAGAATTGTAAATTGAACAAGCTAATGAGCCCATGATTCAACTAGACCTTGAAAATATTATATTAATATTTAGCTCATTTGAAGGGTAAAAAATATCAAAATTCAAAGAGTCAAGATTCATTCACTGTGCTATACCAGCACCTATGTTCAGGCATGGCAGGTGATACTTTTGTTTATGAACTGCAGCCTTTTAACAGGAAGAAGCTGTGGAAGATAGTCAGAGATAACAAGTGTGATTCAATGCAGAGATGTCTATAGTAAGTGACAGATAGTGATGTGTCCTGTGTGTCGAAGCTTTGAAGCGTGTGTCGAGTAATCTCGGGGAAGTTTTTGTGAGGCTTGCTTTGATTACGTATACAGTGACGTTCGAGGCCTCGCGGGCAGTCCGTACCATGTGACTGATTTAGGAACTGGCTCGCTGGTTCGCGCCAGATTAGAAATAAAATGGGCAGCAAACACACAGCAGATTCCCCATCACACTGTTGTGGAATTGGATTATGTACGTGCTACATAGTTACTTGAGCATTTCTACTTGATGGAACAAGCAATGAAGAGAAGATTTTCCCCTGTCTGGCATTTTCATCTCATCTCTCCTAATAAAGTATGCGCACAGTAATAAATATCACGAATGATAAGTACCATAATATAATTAAACAACACCACAGATTCCTATAATCTGATTTCTGTCTTTTAGTTTATTAAAGAGTGAAGCGCCACACACTAGTTTGTGTCATGATTACACAGTTACACAATCATACCAAAACTCTGTCCTGATAGTTTCCACTTTCTCTTTCGTATCAGACATACTGAGACAATATTCATGATAAATAACCATGAAAACAATTTATTTATTCAGTTTAGAGGTTTACACATCACATCATTATAATCACAGAGCCTGTTTCACTTGAATTGTCCACTTGATGGCGCAGTAGAGCAAGTGAATCATCACAATGCTTCAAACCAGGAGTCGACCAGTTGGATGGAAAGCTTCATCTCACCATCACTAGGTACAGCCTATGCTCAGTGATGTATGCAGTGCTTTAAAGGGCAGCGATGCCAAGCTTTTAAATCACCTTGTGTTGAACTCGGAGCTGAAGCTGGAGTGATAGCGTGTTCATTTGTTTATTTTCTTTCTTCAAACTGCAGATTTGACTGAGTCATTTGAACCATTTATGAAGAATCTTGATAGGCAAAAAGCGATCAAAGCAGAGGTATGAGGTCATAGATTGTGGTGCAGAGCTGTGTTGAACCATGCAAACACATGCAAAGTTTCATGCCTGATGCAAACAGTTTGCTGACATCTGGGTACTCTTTCCTTTTGTATAAATGCATATTAAAAAAAAATAATAAATTAGACAATATTCAAAAAACTTGACCGAGAACAAGCACAGTATTTCACTCCCTGCATGGACACTTTGCTAAACCTGATCATGTCTCTGCTGGAGCTGTGCTTTAAGTGTTTAAAAAGCTATAATTGAGCAATGTTTTCATAGCTATGGTTTTGCTTAAAATGTTCGTATTCAAATGGACTCATTAACTGTGGTTCAGCAATAATGAGCAATGGATTTGTTTTGTGTACCAAAGCAGTTGTGCTATTGTAACTGCGAACTGGACTGCTGAGCCAGTAGATTAAAAAAATTGCCAGTTTCGGATTTGAATTCCAAATTTGAAGCCAACACATGAAAAAAGTTATTTTTTCTTTCTTATTTTCTTTTCTAAATGTACTTGTATATTGTTCACATGTTGAAATAAATTACCAACCAATCAATCAATCAATCAATTAAATAGTCTTCCACACATTTATTATAGCAGCAAGCTGACACTGTGTGTGTTTAAAGCTACAAAGCAGAGATGTCGGCCCCATAAGATGCAGTCAGCAGCCTTAGCTCTGTTAGACCAGTAGGTGTGCAGGAGCCCTGTTTTATATGATATCATTACATGTGTTGTGTTTGAACCTCTGGTCATTTACTTGTTTTGTTTGTGGTTGCATTCTCAATCATAATAATTCTCTGTAATAATAAATATTTTCTTCCAGTGTCTGTTTTCTGTGACCTTTTGAATGAAAGGAGGAAAGCACAATAAATGTGACCTTTGAGAGGAAATCTATCTGTATTTAACATGTATAAGTGTGCTTTCTTACTTAAAGTGTAACGAGCTTTATATTCAATATTTTATTCTTATTTTTGTATCTTTAAGGCCTTGAGCATCAAGTGGTGTTACTTCTCTCTCACTTAATTTTCACATGTCATGTGAAGTGATAAACCTTCCACTGAAATGCTTTGCCTAACAAAAGAGAGAGCGAGATAAAAAGGAGCTGTGACTCCCTCAAGGCTTTGCAAATCATGATATTTAAATTTTTTTATCAACTTCAAACATATTCCATAACAGGACAGACACCAGGAGGACCAAACATCTAGTCCAACTCTTATACATTTATGGTAATGCGGATGACATCTGGAAAAAGAGGATTTTAAATGGTTTTAATATGGGTGTGGTATGACTGCTGTAGGCTACACAACTCACAACTCATGTCAGCAGTTGTTGATGTGAGCACGCCTGCAGGCATGTAAATGACAGCAGCACAAGGTTCTGCGTGTGCTTTGCATGCAGGTAAATAGTCACATTAAGACAGAAGGCATCAATTATGTTTTTTTTCTTATTGAATGTGAAACTGTATATACATGGGTGTATTTTGAGTCCAGTGTGGATACAACCTTTTTCTGATTTCGGATGCACAGTTAATGCTGATCCCCACCAAACATTTCAAATCTACTCAGTTTAATTCCATTAAGTTTTGTTTATATCGCTCCAAATCACAACAACAGTCACCTCAAGGCCCTTATTATTATATTGTACATTATACTGTAAGGTAAAATAGTACAGAGAAAAACCAGACAATCAGACAACCCCGCCTTTGAGCACTTGGCAACAGTGGGAAGGAAAAACTCCCTTGTAACAGGAAGAAACTTCCAGCAGAACCAGACTGCATTCCCTGTTTCTCTCAAATGTGCTGCAATCTCAGCCTAGATTTATTTATAATTAGCAATTATAAACCTATTTCTAATCTGTCATTCCTCAGTGGAATATTTGAAAAATGCTTACAAACAACTAAATAAGCAATTTTCAACTTATTGACTTTATAAGTGCCAGTTAGGGTTCAGATTGAATCATAGCATAGAAACAGCTCAGTGATCTAAAGATCAACGGTGACAGAAAGTCTCATTCTTAGGTGATCTCATTGCTGCTTTTGACACCGTGCATCGTGACATTTTAATTCAAAAGCTTCATGACTCAGTTGGTTTAACAGGTCAGGTTCTTGACTAGCTCTCATCGTATCTAAAGAGCAAAAGTTTTTATGTTGCAATTAGCAGTTTTAGATCTGCAAAAATAAAAAATCAATCAGGAGTTCCTCAAGGGTCAGTCCCTGGTCCGTTACTCTTTAACTTTTACATGGTCCCACTTGGTACTGTCATAACAAATCAAAACATATCGTAGCGTTCTAATGCAGATGACACACAGCTGTACTTATCACTTTCCTTTAATGATCTAACCTCTGTTCACAAAGTAATGAGCTGTCTTGATGAAATGTGAACTGCTGGAAACTTTTAAGAACTGAACAGAGACAAGACAGAAATATTTGTTGCTGGTCCAGAAAGTCAAAGATTTGTAATTTGTCCATATTTATCATCAGTTTCTCTGAAACACTGTGAGCAAATCAGGATCCTTGGCATCATTTTGGACTGTGATTTCAGTTTTGATAATCATGTCAATAAGGTTAACACAAATGCTTTTTATTGCTTAAAAATATATCAAAAGTTACATAAGTATTTTCTAACCTTTAAATCTTTTAGAGAATGTTTAACATACCGAACATGTTAAACGTTCTGTATACCGGATTATCTAAATTAGCGGTCTCCAACCTTTTTCGCTTTTAAGGTTTCGCGGATAAAAACAACAAAATAAAAACAAGTACTGGTACCAAAAAAGAAGATTTATTCACAACACACGGGAAAAGACCCAGGGAAGCAGTTAATGATAAAAACGATTAAAAAAATAATGCTAAAAACCGATAAAAACCCTGAAAACCATAAATTTCACACCCAAGCCTCAACTACCCGGGGGTTGGGGACTGCTGATCTAAATCATCAGCAGGATGGCTTCAGCTTATTGGAAATTCAGCAGCCAGACACCTTAGAGCTATGCAGAAATTTGACCGTATTAGCCAAGTATTAAAATCACTTCACAGTACTTTACACCTTTAAAATCCTTCTACTAGTTAACAATGCTGTCAATACTTTGCAGCTGTACCCTATACTTTTAAAATATTTCATATGGGATATGTACTCATCACTTCTTATCATCTGCATGAAACAATTTAAAAATAATAAAGCAGTAAATATGTAGGATAAATATAGAGTTAAAATTGAAATGGAGTAGAAGAAGAAACTTCATGAAACTGTACCACTCAGTAAATGTGTTCTAAAGTCGGAGCTCCATCACACGCCAGTCACATGATCACTAATCTGAAAATGAGCTCAAACCACCCAGTTTGGCTCCAGTTTTTATCTAAGAGCCCCAGTGGGTGTGAAACAGCTACTGTAACTCCATTCAGAGATGATATCAGCCAGCCTTGCCTGTACCCATCTATTCTTCCTCATGGCTTTTATTCAAGTTTGATTATGAAAGCTGAACATGTCCTTTTAACCAGTGCAAAGCTCTGCAGCGTTCCTCAGAGTATTCTGCTGTCTAAGGCCTTCGTGAGGAGAAAACATTGGACAACCATTGGACTTAAACACCACACCCATGAGGTAAACACACTCCTTGCTAGTATGAAACCTATTATTACACACTCCTGTGCACACAAAGTATGTGCTAAACGTGCACATTCATGTGGTATGTAACTAATGCTGGGCTGTGCTGAGAATGCTGCCGTTTTAAGATTAGGAAGTAAAGAGAAACCGGAGCAGGGCTCAGGAGTGGGAGGGCCGGGCTGATGAATAACAGTTGTGACGTTACATTTTCCTGTTTAACAGCTAGTCCTGTTATCTATTCATGCCAATTTATGCAGCAGGAGTCACCTGATCTGCTGTCAGTAAGAACACAGGAGTGGTTGGATAACTTCCATTACAGAAGAAAAGCTGTAAGTATGAGCAGAAAGTTTTTTATTTAATTCTTAAACTGTGAAACAGATCAGGTCAAGCAGCATCAATTAATTCAAAAGAGGAACAGCACATGTGCACGCTTTATTGGACAGTTGTTTAGATAGGCTGCACAAAGCTAAATCCTGAGTATTCAAAGAGTACAGTAATAACACATGTAAAATGTTGCTAGTTGTTTGCATTTGAAATGTAACAAGCTTCACTTGTGTGCTTAAGACTATCCTCTAAAAAAGAAACAGCCGCCTGTTTGTGCACTTGTTAACTGAATGCATTTAATTGGTGCCTTTACATAAGCTGCTTCCTCTTTAGTTTTGTAGCTTTCAGCGTAGTTAAAATCCACTCACTGCCTGATCAGCTTGTTCCAAGTATGGAATAAATCTTTATGATGACTGAAGTTTGTAATGATTGACCCAGTTAGATCTGTATATGGCCTAAAAGCCTTCACTGTGTGTGCGCTGGAATGTGTTCTTAAGGGAGTTTGGAGTAAAATGCCTGTTCTTGGCTGGGGAGATTCATATAAATCCCTTTGTGTAGTGACTGTGTAGCAGTTGTCAAACTTAGCTCACTATAAAGATTTTAAAAAGGTGTAAAAAGTTGGCTGTGTCTCAATGTGGCTTCACGTTACTATAAGAAACCACCACTGCTGTTTTTACACCTTGGTTTATGGAGTAGGTTAAACAAATAATATGAAAAGTTTACATTAGTGAGCTGGCTGGCTGATTCTGGTGGAGAGAAGCAGTAATTATGCAAAGCTAAGGGCAATAAACTTTCATTTGTTTACCACAAATTTAGCTAAACTGGTTCTTTAACAAAGGGTGTAATGTTCAGTTTTTACTAATTGTAGTTATTTGGTAATAACTGCTGGGTTGGGTTTTCTTCAGGAGCTGCTTTCCTCATATTCTCCTGTGGTAGGAGTTCTTCCAACACCACTATGTTTGTGAGCATTTAACCCTTTAACATATAAGTCATTATGATAATCCCAACCCTTAAACCCGTCTACTAGCCTACCTCAGGACCCCAACCCTAATTGCTTAACACACAAGAAGAACTTGAGTGCAACAATACCTATAACTCAAGGCCCAGTAGTGACATATGATGGCCTGTGCATTGCTTTTATTCCCCTTTTTGCCAAATTAATATCAGATTGGATTGGGGAAGACCAAAAAAACCTGCTATTAACGTCTAACCCCAACTCTGAACTGGGACAATCAGAAAATGGACTTTTTATTAAATTGTTCTCTTCAATTTTGTCCATTAGGCAACAAATGTGAACCAAGAGAGGGAAAAAAGCCTGTTTTTGCTTTCTCTGAATTACAGGGCAAGGGTGAAATTAGGGTCAACAAGGGTTAGAAATAATTCAATTCAATTCAATTTTATTTATATAGTGCCAAATCACAACAAAAGTCGCCTCAAATAGGGACTCACACCTCAGAAGGTTAAGACAGAAACATATACTGTATATAAATGATGGACATGATCTTTCTGATCTAAAAATCAAAGCCAATTTCTACTAGAAAAGTAACCCTTGGTTTCTCAGACTGTCATCACACTTCTCACATTCACTATGGAAACACCAAGATGATGATAGAGGCAAAAAAGCACTAAGAGTAAAGCTTCAAGGCAGGACCAACCAATGAGATGGTGACAAGTTGGCAACGTTCATGAAGAAACTGAAACAACGTGGACTAAAAACCCAAAACAAACAAACCACAAAAAACCTGAACACTTGTCAGAGCTGACTTGTCGGAGTCAAGTTGCAGTTCATTGCAGAATTTCCAAATATCCGGATTCACCTTAAATGACTTTGCATATGTATTTTTCCAGTCTTGCCTTTAAAATAAAAACAAATTACAAAAGTCTTTAATGTTTCTTGGGTTAAATTGCTGCTTTCATGCTTTGTGAAACTAGTCTCACACTTATGAGTTCAGAAGTGTTTTTTGTAGCAAGTCATTATAATTATACCTCTGATCTCTAAGTAAGATATTTTGATTGGTGGAAGAGTAGACTATTATTATATTACAGTAATAACATGTGGAAAGAATGGGTGTGTCAGTTTGGGAAACAATGACTCATTCATTAAGCACACTGAAGAGTGCAGGGTGTATGCAGCCTGAATTTCAAGAAGTGCATGCTTCAACATATTTACACAATTACACAGACACACGCACACAAGCAGAAGTCACAAGAGTGCTAAACGTTTGTTAATAAAGTCCTTTTGTTGCCTCAAGGTTGCTAAAATAATTTTTTTCTGGTAGTGTTTTCGGACATGAACAATACGTTTTATCGAGCTCTCCTCTCATCACGACATTCAGACATTTGCATTTACTCCCTCTGCCTGCAGCTTATCATTTGACTTCTTCATTTACAGTTCTGCAGGTCATGGCCTCCAACATGCTACCAGAAAAACAGTTCTACTGTCCCGTCTGTGAGCAGGTGTTCACAGACCCGGTGACGACTCCCTGCGGACACAACTTCTGCCAAGCCTGCATTCAGAGCAAGTGGGAAGGCACTAATGTCTGCCAGTGCCCTGCGTGTGACAGGTCGTTCCCTTCAAGGCCTGAAATGAGCATAAATATAGCTTTCAAAGAGCTCGCAGACACATTCAAACAGATGATAGTCTGCTCATCGGCCGCGCCGCTGTCTTCAGCCCAGCCTGGTGAGGTGGTGTGTGATGTCTGTGCCGCCACGTCCCTGCAGGTGAAAGCACTGAAATCCTGCCTGGTGTGTCTGACATCGTACTGTGAATCCCACCTGGAGCCTCACAAGAGGGTGGTCACCCTGAAGCTGCACAAGCTGATGGAGCCGGTGAAGAACCTGCAGGACAGGATGTGTAAGAAGCACGAGCGGCTGCTGGAGATGTTCTGCAGGGATGAGCAGAAGTGTGTGTGCCAGTTCTGCACTGAGACTGAGCACAGAGATCACAAGGTTGTTTCTGTAGAGGCCGAGAGCACGGAGAGGAAGGTGTGTGGTGAACTTTCTAAACTGTCAGAACATTTTTTTTATGTATACTTATAAATCTATAGTTCCTCTTACACACACTTAAACACTTGACCATAGGAATAGAGGAATCGAGGAAATGAATAATGATTCAACTTCCTGTAGTCATGCCAATCAGCAATGCCTTTTCATTTATTTTGTGCCTGATTAGGTCCTTATTAAGAAGAGTGAGGCCGATTTTCAGCAGATGATCCAGGAGCGACTGAAGAAAGGGGAGGAGATCAAAAACTGTTTGAAGCTCAGCACGGTGAGCCACGACGCAAATATTTCTGTTATGTGGTTTGTTGGATTCTCTCTTACTGATTTCTTGTTTTGGTCAAAGTCAAAAAATGTGTTTAGAAAGTCTGACATGAGTTTGGTAAAAGCTTAGAGAGACTTTTACACAAACACCAGTTCTTTAGGAGGCTAGGCGTATAAATAGTTCAGTTAGTTTCATGAAATTAGACCAAGAGTAGAATTAATCTTGATTTGTAGAGCAGAATACCAAGTCCGTGAGTCGTTTGGTACCGGGCTG